AATCACTTCAAATCTTTCTTGCTGATCAATCCACATTTTCTTGCTTATTACCCATTTCATTTCTCTGAAATTGTTTTCTTGACATTCTTGAAGCCATTCTTTCTAACAAATGTTTTCAATTACTTTTTTTTACTGTTTTGTGATCTTCTCAACTTTTTCATAATTTCAAGCGTTGTTTCGATCATTCAGTAAACATTATAACTTTTTTCTCATTTAAGATTCTACCTTTTTTCGACAATGACGATCTTTATGGATTTGAAATTAAAAAAAGTACATATTATTAAATATAGTATTATACCTACACACATATTTACAGTATGATGAACACGTGTTGTAATTTAAAATCTTACATCAGGAAATAATATATTTTAAATATTTCCAATAAAACAGATTGAATCAAATTGAAATTCAGACGGTATATTTATTATATACTGAATTTCTTCAAAATATTACTTCGTTAATACTAATTTTACTGTAACAAAACTATCTTGCATAGTAAAGTCTGGCATAGTGAATTTTCTGTAATGGCCGTATATAGAATTACAAATAATATTGTTTAAATAATATTTTCGCTGAATATGTATTGGGAAGATTCCGGATAAGCGACTGGTGTAAGTTTAAGTTAAGTATTAGGAGCTTGAATAAGTTCTCACTGATTTTTCATGAAAAGTAATGTTTTATTTACAAAAATTAGTAAGAAACATGTCACAGAAAGTATTGTCTATCACTAGCCACTACTTTTTCCCATCTTTCTGGCAGAATTTGAATTCCACGTCGGAAAAACGATACGTATTTTGAGGCTAACCAGTAGTCGACCCATTATTTAACATCTTCATGAGAATGAAAGTACTGCTCAGCCAGGCCATGTGCCATCGATTGGAAAAAGTGATAATCGGACTAGGCAATGTCGGGTGAATATGGTGGGTGGAGTAGGACTTCTCATTTAAGCGTTTTCAAGTCGATTTTCAACCGTTTTGCAACATGTGGCCTAGCGTTGTCATGTTGCAAAATCAATTTGTTGTGTCTCTGCTCGTATAGCGGCAGTTTTTTCTTATTGCTTCGAACCATCGATATTTGGCTTTGCCGCCGATATTGATGCATAGCCGGGCTTTCACGATCTCCTACGCTTAGCGTTATCGTAGTATATCCACTTTTCATCACTGGTCACGATATGATGCGCAAAATCATTTCTTTTCTGCTGTTAAAGCAGCTGTTCACACGTGACAAAACGCCGTTCGACGTCTCTCGGTTTCAACTCGTACGGCACTCAATGTCCTTGCTTTTGAATCATTTCTAATGCTTTTAAACGTTTCGAAATTGTTGTGTGATCAACTCCTAATTATTCTGCAAGTTCAATTTGCGTCTGACATGAGTCTTCATGAAGTAATGCCTCCGATTCTTCGTCTTCAAAGTTTTTCGGTGCGCCAGAGCGTTCTTTACCTTCAACATCAAAATCATTATTTTTGAAGTGTCTAAACCAATCTCTGCATGTTCTTTCCGACAGAGCATGGTCGCCGTAAGTCTCAACAAGAATTCTGTGTGCTTCAGCTGCAGATTTCTTTTGAATAAAGTAGTGCAGTAAAATTCCTTGAAAATACACTTACTCTGGCAAGAAATTCGACATGTTTAACGCTATGAAAAACAAAGTTGTTTGCATTTCTGCGAAATGACATACATTGAATATCAAGCTTGCTTATAGTACTTCATTATAAATGCGTTACTATCTGAAACTACATGCATGCAATTCTGACAACGCCTTCTGTAGGAAAACAGAACTTATTCAAGGTCTTAATAGAAGCTGATATTAGAATACTGTAACGCATCAGGGAGGGCGCTCATTTTTTCCTTTTCTTTTTCGTTGAGCAACATTTGTGTTTCCCTTCTCGATGTTTGTGTTTATGATGCATTTTTGTATTCATAACTTTATTGGTGGTAATATCGAAAAATGTGATCCTTTTACGTGAAATTTTGTTGATTCTGCATATGGGTACAGTTAATACTGCCAGATATTTGTTGATTTTGCAATAAATCTGCCCCACTTCGAAAATCATTAGAAACACCAAAAGAAATCAACACTTGCAATGTGTATTATACAGTCAGTCTAATATGAACACTCTAAAATGTTTAGCTTAAGTAAACACATTATTAACTGCGTTACCAACGCTGTTATATCTAATTTCTTTGTTTATTAATATTATATTTTGTTTGTTTTACGCAGTAAAGAACAAATCCTGAACAGATACTACAATTTGATCCCATTCCAATGACCAGAGTGTGAAGTAAAGTGTAACTAGAGTCGTACTGGCTGTTCGGTGGATGAATGTTCCCTTATAAGGAAACGGCTAATATAACCATTAGAACAGATACTACTCATTGATCCCAGCCCGATGGATACGGCAAGAAAAAAAGCGTAACTTGAGTAGGACATTCTGTTCGGTCAATGAATGCCAAATGTTTCTTTATAAGGAAACGGTTAATATTACCAATACCATTACTCAATTCAAACGAGAACCGTTGCTTTCAGCGCTCCTAGAGCTCAGGTTGCTATCGAAGTCTTAACTTAAAAAAATCCTCTCTGTGATCAAAATACTGTCTTATGTTTGTTTAAATGACGCTGTTGCATTGTATTTTGTACTAATGATGTGTATAAAAGGGAAAAGGATTCTATAAATTTTAGTCCGGAATGTGATCAATTAATGCGCGTATTTATTGTTAAGCACTGAAATGACGAGGGAAGTTATATAAAGGACAAAGACCGTTCTTTGTGCTTTGCGTACAAGAATTATTGAAGGGTAAACTTGTGATTCCAAGTGTAGTCATCATCTGAGGGAATATTATTAGGCGAAGTTTTTCCGCTTGACTCAACAAGGAATTATGACAGTGAAACGACTGGCTTTATTTACATCACTGCATTCACTAATCAGGGTAACAGTAACAAATGTTGTCTGATTGGGAGATTTTATGACGAACTAAAATGATATTTCATCCCCAATTACAAAATCCGTTGTTGAGGACGTTACTTTTATGAACATTGTAGTGGCAATATTGGTTCGGCTGTGAAACATCGAAATGACAAAAGGAAGAAATGGCCATATGTGTTTCATACGGTTCTCATTTATGTTATTACCGTCAGGTCGTGTCGTAGATGAGTAGATTTTATAAGGTTTAGTAATAACCGACCAAGAGCATATAATAGTAATAAAAATACAGAAAATGTCATTGCTTAGAGAAGAGCATTAATTTAAAAAAAGGTAGAAATATGAAAACCGTTTAAAATGAGGTCTGCATTCTCATGCATACGCACACATACAGAATACATCAAATATGTTTAGAATTCTACTAACATTTGAATAAATCTTAAGCAACTCCACGACTAGCGTTAATTCAAACAAAAAAGAAAAAGAAAAAAGAAAACAAGCCACGTAGATGAATACATACACACACATCTCTCTCTCCCTTTATATATATATATATATATATATATATATATATATATATATATATATATATAAATAATTATAAAACAGTTATTGGTCAGAGTTGAATTTTAATACATTACCATTTCCATACACTTGCTTTTCTCCTCCCCTTCTATGACATTTCACTTCGTGAGTTTATATATAAATAATAAAGCTTTAGAAAATCATTTGGCCTGTAACGCCTGACGATACCGAAAGGTTGAAACCAAGGGAGCGAGATTGGCTTATCTCCTAAATTTTTTAATTTTATATATATATATATATATATATATATATATATATATATATATATGTATGTGTCTGTGTCTGTGTGTTTAATTATTATTCAGTTTTTCCAGCATCCTTACGTTTTTCCGTTTAGTAGGAGTGAGTGAGTACAGAAAATTTCCATAATTTTCATTGTCACATGCTCTTTCTGTACTCATTTACCCCTGAATAAGAAATTAATTAAATCTTCCTTGTCTGCCGTATTTAATAAAAGATGCCCAAATATATATATATATATATATATATATATATATATATATATATATATATATATATATATATATATTGTTTGTTTGGTTGGTTGGTTGAATAATCTAAACATATGTCTATTTTTATTTAATCCTCTCAATTTCACAGATAAATTACTTAGTGTTCTTACAAAACTGATTAAGAAAGACATCGTAGTTTTGCTTATTTCTTTTTTTTCCCCAAGTACTTTCAATTTCATTCAAGATCATCTTCAGGTGTGAATTGCTGAGACAAAAATTAATGAAATTGACATTTGTGAAATTTTTGTGTAAATGTGCATGCAACGCATTTCTTTATCGTCAATCTAAAAATTAACATTAAGAATATGTAAGGGAGGTAACTTAGTTTATATTTTCTATTATTAATGTTAAAAATACTCAACCTGCAATAGAGGATTAAAATAAAAATAGACATAATATGTTTAGATTATTCAACCAAAGATGCTTGAATGAAAAAGATATGCTGCCTATATATATATATATATATATATATATATATATATATATATATATATATAATTATTTTTTATAAAAATATTATAAACATAAGTATATTATAAAATCATGAAAATAGCCATTTTTTTCAACATCATCTGTTGATCAAGTGATGATGTTGAAAATTTTCCAACAAACAAAATGGCTATTTTTGTAGTGATTTTATAACATACTTATGTTATAATTTTTTTATAAAATAATTATATCTGCTCTACTTTGTATTGAGCACTTTTTAAGAATAGTAATTGTTGGTTATTGAATTCATTCCGTATATACCAATATATATACTTATATATATATATATATATATATATATATATATATATATATAGTCTGTTGCATTCATTTGGTATTGATGTCCTCTGAGAAATCATGAATACATCTCAAGAAGTAACAAGATATAGTCATCTTTCTAGCGTTGGATGACACCAAACTAAAAGATACAAGCCAATTAAGGTGTATTAACGTCAACTGCAAAGTTGAAACCCTTTCAACCTCATCATTTCTCATAATGAATATATCTATATCGCTAAAATATCCCGCTGTTTTCCCTTTCTTTCTTTCTTTCTTTCTTTCTTTCTTTCTTTCTTTCTATATTGTAGGAATAATTAACTGTTCGTTTCACGTCTCAGTGCGATCTTCAGAAGAAATCTGACAGTCACCATGCAGTGTTGATTTCCAATGTCAGCGTCTTGTGATTCTGTCATTATTTTCTCTTCGAGATATGTGATATCCATATTAGTTGCTGCTGCTCTTGAAGGACCTAAAGTACTGTAGTTCCTTTGTCTTTTGATTCTGCAGCTCTAGATAGTCCTCGCTAATATTTGCAGACTTCATTTTCTTCCTTTAAACATTGATCTGAGAAAATGGTTGTATATAGCTTGAGTGCGTAGATATTTCTGAACGAATTTGACGCCCCGCATGCCATCCATACATAATAAATGTTTCGATCTGATGAGGCTATTTAAGGATATGACTCGAGATTTAAGTCAATGCTTTGGTTTTGTAGAAATTTGCAGTTTTGGGCGAAACTACAACTTCTATTTTCTTCTGTATGTGTCGTGTCTCCTCAAGACGTTGGCGATCATGGCTCTCCACAATTTCTTGTCCTTTGTAGCCCTTAATAATTTTATTTTTTTTTTTGTTATTTCTCCTAAATCCTGTTCCGCCGTCCATTTTCTCAAATTCGCTTGGTAGGTTATGTGTCGTTTTTCCTCTGCCCCTCCTGCCTTCAATCTGCCCTGTGGGTATAAGCTTTTCCAAGCCCTCTTTCCTCATTGTGTTCCCTAGTAATTTCAACTGTATCTTCCTGATGTTAAGTACAAGTTTCTTTTTTGTTACCATTTTCATTAAAAACCCCGTCACAGCTCACATGTTCGGCCCACATCATCCTTTTGTAGAACCACATCTCTGTTTACTTCAAGTTTTCTTCATCTTTGAGGAGATTGTCCAGCATTCATTGATATATAGGAGGACAGATATCACGCAATAGTTCAGTGCTTTTTTCTTTGTTTCTAACGAAGTTTTTCTCTTTTTTTAATACTCTGCTTAGCTTTTGGAAGGCATCTTTGGATATCTCAGTGCCCCTTCTGATTTCAGTGTAACACTTTCCGTTCTCTGTTCAAACAGATCTCAGATGTTTAAATTTTTGTACTTGTTTGGTTTTGGTATCCCCGATTTGTAAATTGCATGTTGGTCTGACCCTTTTGCTAACAACCATGTGTTATCGGTATATGTTATGTTGTTAAGATTGTGGCCGCTAATGCACTTAACAAACAAGCCATGTTATTCCATGTTCCATTTCCTGATTTCCTATACTAAATTTGTTATTACTAACCCATACATCGATGTATTTGAAGTGTTTAATATTTTTTCTGATTCCACATACTGAATTTTTATGAAGGATTCAGGGTAGATGCCATCACTGCTTTCATAGTGATTCCAGGATTATAAGCTCAGGTAACAGAATATACGCTTTTTCTGTTGTCAAAGAACATTGAAGATATCCTCTTGTCAAAATCTAATGCTGAAAGGTTAATTTCATTTTGCTATCGAGCAATTTTCAACCTGAAATTTAAAAACAAAAATCACTTTTTCTCACCCATTTCTTCTATTCATTTAGTTTCGACTTTGAAAAATCGTAAAGGAAAACACAAGAAAATAGTTCATATTTATTAATATTTTCTTGCTTCTGTTTCAATCTGGCAAATCTCTAATTTGTCGATTTTGTTGTTTTAACGGAGCTCAGGAGATATTACTTTTCTATGATGAGATATTACTTTCTCTAATGAGATTCACTTACCATTGTAGTTGACAGGGCTTTGTCATTTATTAAGAATAATGATCGGCTTCCGTAATAGCAAACACAGCAGACGCGATCAGACGCCTTTTTAACCCTACCGAAATGTAAAGGCCGTCATAAAACACAATCAGCGTTTACCCAGATAGATTGAAACGAAGATGTCCTGCATTCTCTTCCAATTTTTTTTTTAAACAAGAGTGTACAAACCACTATAAATTTTATAGAGGAAACTGAAACAATCAATCAGTCACTTGTTAATCTTCTAGATTGAAATGTAATAAAGCAGCAATGCAAATAAATAAATAAAATAAACGTAATCATTAAGATTGTGTCTGTAACTAGCATGATATTACTATCCACATTTTTTGCTCTATCGTCTGTTTTCTTAACTGTTAAAATGAATTTGAATTACGTTTTGTGACAGCACCTGTTCCCATTTATCGTTATAAGTCAAATTGGATGTCTAATTTGGGTGAACATCTGCCGATTAAATTGAAATATAAGTTAAAGTCAAGCCATATCATTTACCGAACTCTTCAAAATGTAAAGTTAAGAAATTTATGTTCATGCTGTGCGAAAGTTAATGACGAACTTGAACTGTAATAATCTCGATAGATTCTGAACAGGTTTTCAAGATTTTTAATGGGTCTCATTTTTTTTAATGGGTCTCATTTTCTTCGGTGAAAATGAAATAACACAGAAAGGCAGAGAAGTCATAGCGATAAAAGCATGTAAATATTTTATAATACAAAAAAGAATCTGCAATGTTATTGGCCCTGACCTGGTATATGGGCTACTGTGACTTTCTCACCATCGTAACGTAGCTTCCCTGTGTCTTTTCGATAAACTTTTTCATGGTAATTGTTCTGATGAGTTTTCCCCTTTGGTGCCTAGACTTTGTGAATTTAAGCGTAGATTAGTCGTAAGATGGTATCATTTTACAGTTAAAATGGATAGATGTAACCGTAAGTTCTATGCTCGCAGTTTCTTCTCTCACACGTCTCGCTTGTGGCTTCTTGCTTTCCAGTCAACTTTGAGTTTCAAAAAATTAAATGCAATGTCTCATTATCTTCTGTTTTCTTAATTCCTGTCCGTTTATTGTTTTCTCTCCTTAATAATATTTTTCTTTTACTTATATTCTTTCACACTCGGTAATTTCTTGCGTCTAATGGCTTTATTGCCTTGCTTGAGATGAAATAATATATTTATCGGTTACTCAGCCTGATCTTCTTACGGATGAAATATTATCAAGTTATGGCAATAATAGTCATTACTTGACACAAATGAGCGATTATTTCAATAATATGTTTTTAGTAAGTAGGGGAAATTAAGATGCTAATACATTACATTTTTCTCTTTTGTTTCGCGTTATTTTTTTTTTTTTAAATATATTTGTTTTTATGATTTATAAAGCATAATTTAATAAGAGGAAAATAGTCCCAGTAGTAATAGTAGTCCTGTCCTGCATACTCTACTGTGGGGTATAGCGCCACAGACTCACTACGCTAAGTGATAATTCTTCTAGAATGGATGCCAACCAAGGCTAGGCAGTGCAGAGTCTGCCCTGTTATTAACTCCTAGCTAGGGTGCGGTGAAGAAATGGATTCATACCTTTCTATTAAAAATTAGTCGTAGGGTCGGGGAGAAGAGATCAATTAATATTTTTCTCAGAGTATTTGTACGAAAGCGAACACAACGGCTTCAACTCGAATTTGAACCCGGCACGCCAATCCCATTTCCCGCGCAGATAACTGCTACGCTGCGGAATGTGTTTCAATTTACTCAAGATTAAACGAACAGATAATCTAATATCAAATATACAGATATCAGTGCGAGTACAGGTTAAAAAAATAAGCAATATATCCACAGTAATCAGACGCCATATTAATACATTGCGTGTCCTCTTTTGATGTCAACACACATATCTCTACTCTTGCATATATACAATTATACATCCGAAAATTATCATTTTGTGATACATTATTCCATGCCTCTTGCACCTATTGAGTTGTAGATGGGCTAAGTGAACGAGTCAGACGTTATCCCATCATGTCACGTAACTGTTCAATGGTGAATGTATGAAGATCATACTGACCATGGAAATTGTCGAATGATTGATTTTTTATGGCTTATAAACCCTTCGTGAGTTACTTAATGCCAAAACATATTTCTTTTTTTCTTTTTTTTGCGAGTAAATATTCTAAAATTTCACGGTCCCCAAAACTCATTGGTGTCATCGCAAGAATGCAATCACAGATTTTAGTAATTTTTTATAAAATAAAATCCGATGTGAAAGTAATATATATTATTTTCTTTATTTAAAATCATGTGTAAATCGAAGATAGACTAATGGCATAAATAAGATACTGACATTCCACACTACCCAAAACATAAAGCAAGAAAGGATGTCTTCATCAGTATTGGAAACGACATTAGTAGTGACTGACTTGAGAAACTTATTTTCCTGAAAAATTGTTCTATGTGAAAGATTTTATAAATTACAACCGACAGCAAGTCTAAATTCTCGGTGAATGAATGCCAAAAGTTTCCTTATAAGGAAATGGCTATTATTATCATTACCATTGCTTCGCTGAGTTTTTTTTTCCCACGGACTGTGTAAATGATGGGTCAGTGTAAACTAGAAAATGGTTTCTCTTCCATTAGGAAAATCAACCATGTTTTCCCTTTCATTAAGAAAATCATCCATGTTTTCAATTTCATTACGAAAACCAGCGATGGTAACGCCGACATTGGCACACAGTGACATTCCGAGATCAAACAATGAAGAATTAAATTACTATCCATGGTTTACAAGATGAGTGTTTCTCTCGCAACATGAGGAAAGTATCAAAATTAGAATGGCTATTTGCTAAGTGTTACTTAGTCTGATGCAAAACCATGAGTGTACTGCTATGAGACGAATCGGGCAAACGACTCTTTCTAGTGAATTGTTTCATGAGACGAAATAAAAATATTGTAATCGTAAGTACGTTCGTGGAACTTTTTTTAATACAAGCTTAGATTCACCTGGAAAGTGTCACCAGAGTGAGGTACTCACTTCTGGTCAAATTTATTAACAATAGCCAGAGGGGCTAATCGTTTAGAATCACTATAAACCGTAAATTGTCATTACTAAATATAAACTTCTTTGGTTCTGGACTACAAACGAAGTGTAGCCATTGAAGACTGAACTCGTTATACAAACTGTGGCCTACACGATGAACGTGCAAAACAGCACTCAACGGTTCGCATCTTGTTAAAAAATTTACATAATTCTGGTAGATATTTAATAAGCTTAGCGAAATCTGGTACAAAGTTAAAACAATGAAGCAGCCAGTGGGGATAGAATTCATTAGTAATTATTTTACGACTAGCGTCTTCAAACGCTTGTGAAAATAATTAAATAATTGCAATGGCTTATTCATGACATTAATTGATTTCTCATTATTTTTTCAGGAAAGCATTAAACCAGAAATTATGACTAGAGTCGTACTACTTCTGCTGATGTTCATTCAACTTCTTCAAATACGGGCGAATTATCCATTCTTAGAACAAGTTGAAAAAGTAGAGTGAGTAAAGATTCTTTTTTTTTCTTTTTATCAAATGTCGTGTTTGCCTTCCATACATTTTATTTCGTACGTTTATCAAAATTGTTACATTGTGATATTTCAAAATATTAGACTGACCGCACAAGAAAGATATTGGTTCAAAACCAGCGCTTTTATTCTGCCAATGATGCTTACCAATTCATAAGTCAAATCCATCGACCGGAGTCATTATCTGCTGATATGTTTTCGTCTATTAGTGGTAAGTCTGCATTTTTAGTAACTGATAATTAAGTAAAAAATACAGTCATCAGTTGACACCGAACAGAAGATAAATTAAAAAAAAAATAATCCACTACAGAGATAGTAAATACAATAATGATGATGACGATCATCCTCTTTTCCATCATCATTATCGATGACATGGCCGGGTGAGGTCGTAGGGCCGCTGTGTAGGTGAGCACCTGATCAGCTCCATCCATTTGCGTGCCAATGTCAGAATCTCTGTCAATGATCTTCCAGTCCGTTCAGTGACGTTGTTAGCCCATTTTTCTTTTATTTGCTTCAGTTGTCCAAATTGGTAACTTGAGGATGCTAATGGAACGATTATTGGTTCTTATGGCTTGTCAATAAGATTTCGACTTTCCCTTCTTGACGGTTGCAGTAAGATCTTCCAATAGTCCTGTTCCTTATCTGGTGCTAATCTCCCACTGCATCATTTGTAGTCTACGTTGGAGAAGCCTATTATGGTTCTTTAGCATCTCATTTCTAATGCTTGGATTTTTTGTTGTAATTCTGATGTTAATATCCAAGATACACACGTTCCTGGGTAAGACGATAAACTACATCCAACGGCAAGGCCTCTCATCAGGAGGTTTTGAGTAATGTGGAACCACCTTTTTATTACTGGTGCTCCCAGGTACACCCTGATCTTAGATAATCTATAAGTCTACCATTCGTCCATATCTTGAATATTGCTGCTATGTATTTAGAAATTCTTGATAAAATCTAAAGAAGAATCTGCAATGTTATTGGTCCTGTCATGATATCTCAGCTCAGTCACATTCCCAGCGACGTAAGGTAACTTCTCAGTGGCTTTTGATAAATACTTTCATGTTAACTGTTCTGATGAAATTTCCTCTATGGTAACTAGACTTTATGAATTTAAGTTCAGTACTAGATTGGTAGCAAGGTTTCATCATTTTATACTTGAAATGGATAGATGCAACCGTAATTTCTATGCTAATAGTTTCTTCTCGCGCACTTCTCGCTTGTGGAACTCTCTTCCGGTTTCTTTTTTCTCAGTTAACTTTGATCTTCAGAAATTTAAATACAATGTCAATCGTCGTCTTCTGTCTTCTTAATTCCTGTTCTTTTATTTTTTATCTCTCCTTAGTAGTTTTCTTTTCTGTCACATATGGTCCGGTGCTCTTGTATTTACCTTGAAGTCCTTGATAAAAGCTTAAGAAGAATCAGCAATTTTATCGGTCCTGATCTGGCAGCTCGGCTTCAGTCACTTTCACCGCCGTAAGGTTGATTCTCTGCGTCTTTTCTGTAAAGTTGTGTAATGGTAATTGTTCCGATGAGCTCTTCGCTATGGTATCTAGGTTTTTTAATATTTAATTGCAGTACTAGATTGGTGTTAATATGTCATCAATTTATAGCTGAGCTGGTTACATGTAGCCGTAACTTCTATGCTAACCGTTTCTTTTCTCGCACTTCTCGCTTGTTGAAATCCCTTCCGCCTCCATGCTTTGCAGCCAACTTTAATCTGTAAAATTTTAAATGCAATGTCAATCGCTATCTGCTGTCCTCCTGATTACTCTTTCCTCTTCCCGCTCATTATTAATGTTTCTGTTCCTAATTCTCCCACACCCAGTAACCTCTTGTGTCTTGGTGGCTTTAATGCCTTGCTTGTGGAACTCCCTTCCCGCTCTATGCTTTCCAGCCAACGTTAATCTTCAAATATTTAAATGCAATGTCAATCGCTATCTACTGTCCTCTTGATTACTCTTTTCTCTTTTTGCTCATTATTAATGTTTCTGCTCCTAATTCTTTCACACCCAGTAATCTCTTGTATCTTAGTGGCTTGCGATATCGATTAAAAAAAAAGTACTGGAAAGAGCGATAACAGTTACTGGACTTGAGAAAGCTATTTTCCTGAAGAAAATTGATTTAATAGAATGATTTTATAAACTTCAACCGAAAGTCTGCTCGGTCGATGAATGCCGAATGCTTCCTTATAAGGAAACAACTAATATTACCATTCACATTACAATTCTAGTACATTCTGATGAACAAATGTGGTATACCATCGTTAGTAATAAATATTTGAACTGACAGGACGAAGCTTTGTATGTACACCTGCGTAAATCGTTGATGTAACTTGATTTGTCTCTTCAGAAAGATTGCAACAGTGATAACATCTCTAATAGCAACAATCTCGATTGCTGTCTCATCAGTTACGGATGTAGACGATTTATCGATACTTTACTCGTGTGAAAGCGATAAAAAAATCGATTCTATGTCTTATCAGTTCTTTACTTGAAAATAGATAAATACAACTTCTACAAATCCACTCTCATCTTTTTAGAAAATGGTACACATACATATATTTACTAAGCAAGCTTCTGTGTGAGACAGAGTGAATGGTAGATCACTCAGTGAGCATCGAACTCACTTTATGTGCAAATGGTTTGTGAAACTCACTCTCTGAACATCACTCACCGATAACCACCTAAAGGTACATGCATATAGATTGTCTAATTTTTAAAACTCATTAATGTCCATCGTAAAATCCGTTATTAATTATAACGATAAAAAAATCCGAAATTAGTTAAAAGCTTCTAAAAAATCCTTTATTAGGTTTATAAAAATATGTTTATAAAAATTCGGTATTATGTTTATAAAAATGATTTCTAAAAAATCCGGTATTAGGTTCATAAAAATATGTTTACAAACATTCGTTATTTACTCATAAAAATAGATTTCTAAAAATCCAGTATTAGGTTCATAAAAATATGTTTACAACATTCGTTATTTACTCATAAAAATAGATTTCTAAAAATCCGTTATTAGGTTTATAAAAATAGATTTCTAAAAATCCGTTATTAGGTCTATAAAAATAGATTTCTAAAAATCCAGTATTAGGTTTATAAAAATTGGTTTATAAAAAATCCGATATTATGTTTATAAAATAGATGTGGGAAAATCTGTTATGTGGTTTAGAAAAATAGGTTTATAAAAATCCCGTGATATGTTTATAAAAATAGGTTTATAAAAAATCGTTATTTTACTCATAAAAATAGAATTCTAAAAATCCATTATTAGGCTTATAAATATATGTTTATAAAAATCCGTTATTATGTTTATAAAATAGATGTAGGAAAATCAATTACTAGGTTTATAAAAATAGATTTCTAAAAATCCGGTATTGAAGCGGTATTTGATTTATAAAAATAGATTTTGTTAAAAATCCGGTATTAGATTTATAAGAACCTGATATTATTTATAGGAATCTGATTATAGGTTTCCACCTATTAATGTCGATCATAACAAAAATGTGGTGTTGAGCATTAACAAGATAACGTCTTCATATAAAAATTATTAATGTTAAAGCAAGAATGCCTGTGTAACTACCTACCTATATCTAATACAAGGCCACCTTTTTGGACCATTTTACCTATTTATTATAGATGTTCTGCGGAAACTGAGCGATTTTAACTCGAAACTTCGAAAACTGAAGTCTCATATGATATAAAATACTTCTGGTAATTTAATATTGCAAAATTGTGTAATTAGTTGAGGAATTTTTATATGTTTAATAAGCGTGTTGGTTCGAATAATAACGCCGGGAAATATTTTGAAAAATAATAAGCGTATCGTACCAAATAAATACGCCGCCAGTTATAGCGAAAAGAAATTGAAAGAAATAATTTAAACGTGGCGACAAATATAAAAGAGTAACTGAAAACTTTAATCTATCCAACGATGTATTATATTCCTTGTATCTGTTATTTTTTTACTAGGAAATAAATAGGAGGTATTACTTTCGGATCTTCTCCCATAATAATAATAATGATAATAAAAAAAAAACACAACCTTTTCAGTAATCTTAATTTCTTTAACGTTACCAGTCAAGCCTTCATTCTACGGCCATTTTCAAACAACGCTGATCGGAAATAAAAGACAAGATACGAATTTTTCCCTGAAAAGCCTGATTATATTCCAAGTAACGACCGAGATACCAGAACTTTTACGATTGAGAGCAGATCAAATCTAATCATTAAACTTATTCTTTATTACGCCCAATCGCCATATTTGATATTGCTTTGAAGTAAACTACTAGAATTAGTAGTAGCAATATTACCTTGAGTCTATTTTTCATAGATGAATTACTGAAGATAAGAGAAATAATTGCGAAAACTTAATTCTAATTCAGTAAGCTTATTTCTTATTTACGATGCGCACTGTTTACACCTCAGAAATTTTACAGACTTTAATCGTTGCTGAAAAAAATCCTCTAATAAGTATTCCAAGAAATAGACTCAAGATAAACTTTTTCAAAACAGAAAATATGATCTGGAATTAGAATGAAAGCAGTGATGACACTTACTCTGAATCCATCATAAAAAAATTCAGCATGAGAAATTAGTAAATACTAAACACTTCAAATATGTTGTATGGATCAGTTACAACAGGTTTAATAAAGGAGATAAGGAAAATGAATATAGAATAGGCTGTACTAGGGCTAGTTTCGCCCCAAACCGCACATTGCTACATAAAACATAACTTTGACAAAAAATACCGCCATGTTCTTAAATAGTCTCATCACTTTTATATGCATGACATGAAATTATTCTTACTCATTTCATCCTAACTAAAGGAATAATGACACTAAAACTCAAGCGGATTATTGAGAATATGAGAAAAAAAACATAATTAAAGAGAGAGATTAATAAAAGAACAGAAATTAAGAATACATTGCATTTAAATTTCTGAAGACCAAATTTGACTGGGAAGTA